AGAGCCCCCTTGAGCCGGCTGCCCCTATTTGAGAATCAGTGCTCCAGGTGAAGGGACAAAGTCTCAATGGCTAAAGTCAGCATAAGGAGGCAGTCCCTCTGGTCAGTAACAAGTGCCATGGAGAGAAAACTGCCCCTTACTTTCTTTCCTGTTTTTCTCTCTCTCTCTCTCTCTCTCTCTCTCTCTCTCTCTCTCTCTCTCAGTTGGCCTTTCCATGAACCCTGAGGACTCCTTGGGGGAGGACTTAGGAGGAGAGGGCTAAAGAGAAGGCTTTGCTGATAAGCTCAGTGCCTTGAGAGGCTCAGCAACGTCAAACTCCTCTCCCTCAGGGACCCTCCAGCACCTGAGGAAGGCGAGAAAGGCGGAAACCCTTTTCCCACCAGAGCCCTGTGTTTTTGTTCCAAGGCCTCCCTGTGGCACCCCCTTTTACATACTCATTAATAAGCAGAAGGTCCACTGGGGCAACAGACGCTGGCACGGTTTCAATGTGTTCAGTCAAGGTGCTAGGGGCTGGACAAGCAGCTCAATGGTGAGTTTAGTCACAACACGAGTGACATGCTCTCCTGCTTCCCTAGGAGCTGAGTGCCAAGACAATATACAAATGCTTCTAAGGCTGCCTTTCCTCACCTAACTGCCCCTCTCATCTCTCGGGTTCATGTTGTGTGCTCTGATGTTTCTAGAACATCAGGAAATAGAACCCCTTTGTCCCTTTATCCTTTACCCCTGCTCACAAGATGAGTCTATTGCTGTCTTCCTTTACCCTCTTACACCTCCTCCCCCCCACCTTTGTGCCTGTTTCTCATGATCTTTAAAAGCCAGCTCAAGCCTCTAAGTGCTGTTTGGTACCAGCATTTTGTCTTTTGATACGTGATTGTGCTGTCATTCTGTTTTAAGTTGATAGATCAATAGGCTTGTTTACAATGTTATATTTTCTATTAAATCCATTGTTTTCAAATTTGTCATTTATGGACTTCCACCATCCCCACTCTCCCAAAGGTTAGAAGATGGATCTGGGTTCATATATATTTTGGGAATAGCTGGTGAACAAAGCTTTATACTCACTCCTCACAACAGCTCTGCAGGAAGTCACAATCATAGCAACTGCTGATCTTTTTCATTTACTGGCGGAAAAGAAAGTATGTCATAAAAGTGAGTTGAAAAGCACCTGTGTGAAAAATGGTAGGAATGAAAAGTTGAGCAATAAATTGTTCATGTTCTAACTGTACTTGGGATCCAAACAAGGATACAGCTGTTAAAAACAATAAGGCAGATCTGTGACCAGGAGGATATAAAAATAAAAACTGCATGGTATGGAAAATAGGTTGTTTCGTTTTGTTTGTTTGTTTTTAAAGTTAAAAATCAATATGGCATATCTTAGGTCAATATAACTGAAGTACAAGTAGAAGTTGGAAGAAGGGTTTAATTTTTTATCAGTTATATTGACATATAATTTATGTGCTGGGTGGGATTAATTTTTAAGAAGGTATGTCATAGAAAAAATATATTAGAATGAAACGAAAAAGGACTTAGTGACAACAGCCAAACTGGAGATGTCTGTGTGAACTCAGGACCTTAAAAAGATCTGTCTTGCCCGACTGCCGTGGTTGAGCATTGACCTATGAACCAGGAGGTCACAGTCTGATTCCCAGTCAGGGCACATGCCCAGGTTATGGGCTAGAATCCCCCGTGGGGAGTGTGCAGGAGGCAGCAAATCAATGATTCTCTCATTATTGATGTTTCTCTCTATCTCTCTTCCTTCCTCTCTGAAATCAATAAAAATATATTTTAAAAAAATAAATCTATCTTTCCCAGGCCTGTGTTTCCTTGTGGTTCAACAGCAGTGTCATCCTGCTTCAACCAGTTCTTATGTGGATTCTGGGCCAGCCTGGGCCTCTGATATACACAGGGCTTCTTGGACAGGAGCTAATCACATGTTTTGGGCAGGGATCACAGTGGGCCTGGAATGTCTTATTGCCATAAAACAAAGGTGCTTTCAAAAATGAGGCAGTAGCCCTGCCAGGATGGCTCCGTGGTTGAGCATGGACCTATGAACCAAGAAGTTGATTTGGGTCAGGGAACATGCCCAGGTTGCAGGCAGCTGATCAATGTTTCTCTCTCATAGGTGTTTCTATCTTTCCATCCCTCTTCCTTACCCTCTGTAAAATGAATAAAAACATTTAAAATAAATAAAAAATGAGGCAGTACTGAGAGGATGAAGCAGCCTGTTAAATGGGCCTTCCAAGGCCAGGTTGTGACAATTTGATCAATAAATATTTAATATAGCTAAGTAGAAAGAGTCGAGTCTGAAACCCCAACTCTGATACTCAGAAAGGAAAAAGATTAAGTATACTTGGAGAGCTATATTTCAGGAAGAGTGGGTAGAATGTGTTTCAAGTTATAAGTGGCAGCATGTTCACACAAATGTGTCACCTCTTCTATTAAATTTGTCGTTTACAAAGTAGAGATGGATACAAGAGCCTGGCCCACTATTCCCCTCCAGAATGGCTTACCCCCGTACTTCCTCAGATCTCTGCTCAAATGTCATTTATCAAAGAGATCTTCGTTGGCCCTCCAACATAAATAGCAATCCCAATTCTCTCTCCCCTACTGCTCTATTTCTCAAACCTCTACCACCTGGCATGATTTTGTTTCCCACTAAATGTAAGCTTCATGAAAGCAGACTCTAAATGCTGCTCTATCCTGTCCCTATCAGTGCCTTGGTTTCTAGAAGACACCCATTATTTGTTGTAAGCCTGACAGTTACCCCCAAGAGTAGTGATCATATACAATAACCAGGGGAAATAACAGCATATTATATGATAATGGATTAGCAAACTGGTCTATTGAAGATATAAATTTGCAAATTTGATGCCTCTTTCCTGGGAATCAAAACCCTTACTATGATGTGATGCATAAGTTTCCAATAAGATATTGTGACAATGCTGAGCATCCTCTGGCTCAGAGAAATACGGGAATCCTCGGAATTGTGCAAAATTAGACTGTGGGTGCTGAAAGTTGTCATAAACATTTGTTAAGAACATCATCAAAGCCATTTTTCTGACTCAAAACCCTAAGACTGGTATGCTGGCTGACTTTATTATTGAGCCAAAGTTCAAGGACCTGACTATTTGGCTACTCTTTCCAGAGGGTCCCACAATGTCACAACTTCTCCATCCTCCTTAGGAGCTGCATCACAGTACAGCTATAAGTTATTTTCTTCAGTGGCTGCCGACAAGTACTACTATCAAGAATGCCACCTTCCTATACAGTGGTTCTCAACCTTCTGGCCCTTTAAATACAGTTCCTCATGTTGTGACCCAACCATAAAATTATTTTCATTGCTACTTCATAACTGTAATGTTGCTACTGTTATGAATCATAATGTAAATATCTGATATGCAGGATGGTCTTAGGCAACCCCTGTGAAAGGGTCATTCAACCACCAAAGGGGTCGCGACCCACAGATTGAGAACCGCTGCTATATAACAATTGGATGTCAACTGGTTCAAATATAGTTTTAAGTGGCCTTACAGTATTTGGTAATACTCCTATTATTAAACTAGAGGCCTAGTGCACAAAAATTCATTCGGGGCAGGGGTGTGTGTGTGTGTGTGTGTGTGTGTGTGTCCGTCCGTGTGTGTGTCCGTCCCTCAGCCTCCGGGACCCCTCGGGGGATGTCCGACTACTGGCTTAGGCCCGATCCCTAAGTTGGCAGTTGAGGATCCCTCTCACAGTCTGGGACCCCTCACTCTTTACTGCCCGCCTGCTCACTATGCCTTACTGCTCAGCTAGCTGCTCCTTAGCGCTGCTGCAGAGGCGGGAGAGGCTCCCACCACTGCCACTGCGCTTGCCAGCCGTGAGCCGGGCTTCTGGCTGAGGGTGCTCCGATCGCACTGACCATCGGGGAAGCTCCTGCATTGAGCGTCTGCCCCCTGGTGGTCAGTGCACATAACAGTGAATCAGTTCTGCTGTTGGGTCGATTTGCATATTAGGGTTTTATTATCTAGGATGTCATTTTACTCACCAATGTGTATAACAGACTATAATGAAACACAATGAGGAAAATTAAAATCCCAGACATAAAACAAAATGCTACTAGTCTTAACCATTTACTGAATTTTTATAACATGGCAACTGCTGCCACCTGCTGGTGATGCTTATGGCAAAATTACCACTTAGTGGGATCTCCAAAATTCCTGCCAAAATTTTTAAATTCCTTTCCAAAGCAGGCAGCCACATGAATGGCTTTATGATGATCATATCTGATTAATTCTCTTAACAACAAAAATGTAAGTATATTAATGTCTAATGTAAACTAGAACCCTCTATAACTAAAAAATGACCTTGCTGTTAATACTATAGGTATGGGAATGTGGCTGCCAAGTCTTTTCTCCATCATTCTTTTCAACAGGAAGGGATGTATATTTATTTTAAGTTAAAAACATTACTTAAAAAAATAAGTGGGACAAGATGCATCTCAACTGACAAAGGCAGGCTCTTAAATTTGTTCAATCACAAGCTTAAAATGTCACAAAACCTCTATTTTGACTTAAAAAGTCATTTAGTAACTTATTTTCATTTATCAGTTCTACATCCAAACCTTTTACATAAAATCAAGAGATGTGGCTTCTTCAAACTAGTTCTGGGCAGGATGAACTGACAGTCTGCAAAGGGACCCTCTGCTCTCTCTCACTCTCACCAAAAGAAATCATGAGGTTCATGTCAATTTATGGTAAATCTCAGTCCACTTGTAAAAGTGGCCTTCATGAAATTAAGTTATGTACAGCACTCTTTGTTCATGTACTTTCTTGATATACCATCCTTTAACAAGGTAATTTATTTCTAGGGCATTCAGGGGGTTACCCCAATTTTCATTATAATCAGAGACAAAAGTACTCTACCCAAAACCTCACCATCTTAAAAATGGCTTATAACTCATGCCTCAAAAATAAGACTTTACAAGCCTTTGGCGACAGAACACGTATCATCAAACTCTGCTCTAATTATAAGACAATTTTTAAGTTATTTTTATTTTTAAGATTAAGCATCCTCATTGACAATCCAGAAATAGTCACTGCTGACTCTTTGGATACACACACATAAAATGGTTAAAAATGATTCCCCAATTTTCAGTGACAAGGTAGGAAAAAACATTTTCATAGCTGCAGCTGAATTCTGCCCTTTTCAAAAAAATCTTATTTTGTTACCAAACCACTCACCAAACCAAAAGGAAAGACAATTTTTCAAAAAGCCAACAAAACCCTGAAATAGGGATCTAGGCAAGCCAAAATTATCCTCCAAAACGGTGCTGTTGCAAAAAACAGGTGGGAAAACAAACTCCCAAAGCACATTAGAGAAGACCTATAGAAAGAATTTAGAAAGTTAGGACTGAACCACAGTAGTGTGGAGTTCAAAAAGCACAAAATTGGAAGCTCAGCTTGTTCAGCTTGGGAATGAATATATTAAGCTTCCTCTTATTCCAGCAACAGAAATAAAAATATGAGCTGATGGAGTTGATATTAAAATTGTCCTTACCAACAGAAGGCTGGGTGAGGGTAAAAGAGAGAATGTAGAATGAAAGGTGGCAAAGACAAGTTGTTTTGAATCTAGGCTCTACTGCTCAGGAAAGCTGAACAGCGCTGAAATTCTTCTGAGCCAGTGTCATTAAATAACAGACTTGGCTCAGCATCAGTGAACTATATACCACCTGCTATATCTGTGACCCACATTGTTTGTGGTATTAAAGAATATTTTTTAAATTATTAATTTCTATTCTGAAAAGCAGTATCAGGTGACCCACATTATTTGTGGTATTATAGAATATTTTTTAAATTATAAACTTCTATTCTGAAAAGCAGTATCAGGTGACCCACATTATTTGTGGTATTATAGAATATTTTTTAAATTATAAATTTCTATTCTGAAAAGCAGTAGATCAAAATGGCACTGGGCCATCCAATCAGCTATAAAGGGCTCCCTCCAAAAAGAACTCAGCAGAAATTTAGGTTGGAAGGAATGTAACATGGAGTAAGATCAGGCTCTTGGTACAATTTTAATAAGGCTTCTAACCACCCCAGCCGTAAGGAGACTCCCTCAGAAGTTTAAAGGGATGCTTCTCAGAGATAACAAGGTCTGTAAGTTGAACTCTTGACCCCTTCTCCTTACCTAAAGCTTGGGGAAGAAAATAAATATTTAAATTTTTAACTATTCAGAGTTTTGGGAACATAGTAATATTTAATATTCCTTAGTTTTCATTTTCTGAACCTTTGGCTTATAATTTTCTCAATTATGTTACACTGAAAAATGTATGAATGTGCCTTAGTCAGTAGTGCCACATGAAAATGTAAACCTCGTTCTCCTCATCTTCTACACTGGAAGCGTGAATGAATGGTAACCCTAAATATCCTGCAAATATCCTGAGTTACTTTGTATACTCAGCAAAAGATTAGGGCAAACCATTTCACTTCCACGTCTTGAGCAGTAGGAATGAACTAGTCTTCTTCAATCTCATCTTCCCAAATATCTTCATCAACATCCACAGCATAGAACAACCTGGAAGCATATAATAAGGTATAATGTTATAAACTTGAAAGAAACTATAAATAATTTATTTCCTTGTCTCAAAAATACTTTCTGTACTCCTCAGATAACATCTTTATCTTTTCCTCTCCTTTAATCTTCCACTGAGAAGGACTAAAATATGGTCCCTCTGAACAGCTAGCTGCCTTAAAGCTTATTAGAACAGCCCTTTTAGGATCAAGACACACTCTCTAGGGCCAGGGATAAGTAATGGAAGATGAGTGTCACAAAACTGATACTCAATGCACATAATATGTGGAATAAGCCAAGACTGGGGAAATCAAGCAATCTAGAAGTTGAACTCTTTTGAGACACTATAACTTTATTACATGCTAATCACTCCATTCTATCTTCATGGTCCATGCACTCTCCATTTTTAGTATGTTTTATAGTTACCAACTTGTCTTCCTTCCCTTATGTTATCTCTCTCTCTTCCTTCCTCTCTGAAATCAATAAAAATATATTTTTTAAAAAAGAAATAGATGTTTAAAAAAGAGAGGCTTAAAAAAATAAAAAATAAAAAAGAGAGGCTTAAGAGACAGAACCAAATAAAATGACTGAATTTGATTAGATCCTGTTTCAATAAAACAACTTTAAAAGATATTTTTAGGGATAACTGGAAGGTTCTTAATAAGTTTATTAGCTGATAATATGCCATTGTCATTAATCTGTTTGAGACTTTTCATTGATTTTTTTAGAGAGGAAGGGAGAGGGAGAAAAACATTGATGTGAGAGTGAAACTTGATGCTTCCTGCTGGGGATCAAGCCTACAACCTGGGCATGTGCCCCGAATGGGAACTGAACCAGCAATCTTTCAGTGTAGGGATGACACCCAACCAACTGAGCCACACCGTCCAGGTCTCATTAATTTTTTTAAAGTATTGTTATATAGAAGAATTTTCTTAGGCCATACACATGGAAGCATTTAGAGATGAAGCATCCTATCTCCGACTTAGGGTCAAGTACTTCAGCAAAAAAGTTAGAGAACAAACATTAGAAAGTTTTAATTAAAAAACAGAGAGAGAACAGGTCCAGCCAGTACGGTCCAGTGGTTGAGCATCGACCCATGAACCAAAAGGTCATCAGTTCAATTCCCAGTCTGGGCACATGCTGGGTTTCTAGCTCTATCCCCAGAAGGGGGTATACAGGAGGCAGCCAATAGATGTTTCACTCTCACATCTAAGTTTCTCTCTCTCTCTCCCTTCCTCTCTCTAAAAATCAATAAAAACATATTTTTAAAAAAAGAGAATATGGCAAAACACTCTCAATTATTAATTTTGGTGGACGTTATCCTACTATTCAGTCTTATCCTTTCAACTTTTCTATTTAAAATTTTTTACTATAAAAAGCTGAGGAGGACAAAAAAGAAGAAATTTTCCAGGTAGCATATTTTCATCATAAACCTCATTTTCAAGAAAATAATATAAAAATTCACATATGTGGGAAGTGTGTAAGAGAATTCTCTAATAAGCAAAGCACTAAGTCAAACACTGGATCTGTGGTCTGCAAATCAAGGGCCAAAAACTGCTGCTGAGCCTGGGGAATTCTGTGTACATACCGGTTAAAACACAGGGAAGCAGGATCAGTGAAATGTTTATAAGGGTTTGCTCTAGAGAGAGAACCCATGCAAATCCAGCAGAAATATTGCATACAACCAGTACATGTCATCTTGTTACATCCATCTAATTTCTGGTGGGAAAGACAGAAAGGGAAAAATATCAAGGTTATAAAAGCAAAAGAGAAATGCACATGCCAAAAAGATTCAGTATAACATTGTCCTACCGGCGGTTCTCAACCTGTGGGTCGCGACCCCTTTGGCGGTCGAAGGACCCTTTCACGGGGGTCACCTAAGACCACCCTGCATATCAGATATTTACATTACGATTCATAACAGTAGCAACATTACAGTTACGAAGTAGCAACGAAAATAATTTTATGGTTGGGTCACAACATGAGGAACTGTATTTAAAGGGCCAGAAGGTTGAGAACCACTGTCCTAGTCCCTTTCCTCATACAGAGCTGAACACTATGGTAGGTAACACATTGATAGCTAGTTAATGCCAACTCTTTTGCATTACAGGTGAAACAGGAAATATTTAGCAGGCTTTCCTACAACTAGATACTTAGCAAGTTTTCTTCTGATAAACTCTAGATACAAACCAAATGTACTATATTGTACACGGAAAATGTAGTTAGATTAATTAAAATGTTTGGATTTAATATATGTGATTTTAAACTTTTTACATAAATCTAAAAAACATTTGGTATCAAGTCCTCCACTTTATCATAGGGCTGAGATACATCAGAAGTAGTTAAGCCGAAACCGGTCTGGCTCAGTGGATAGAGCGTCGGCCTGCAGACTGAAAGGTCCCAGGTTCGATTCCAGTCAAGGGCATGTACCTGGGTTGCGGGCACATCCCCAGTAGGAGATGTGCAGGAGGCAGCTGATCGATGTTTCTCTCTCATCGATGTTTCTAACTCTCTATCTCTCTCCCTTCCTCTCTGTAAAAAATCAATAAAATATATTTTAAAAAAAGAAGTAGTTAAATTGGTTAAATAGAATGTCAGTTTCCTTAATGGAGTACTTAGGGAATGACCACCAGGTTCAGTTCAGATATACAGTAGTACCCCCTTATCTGCAGTTTTGCTACTCATGTTTAACCCATGGTCCAAAAATACAGAGTGGGGCAAAAGTAGGTTTATAGTTGTGAATATGCAAAACAGTTTATTTTTGTATTATTCATTAATTATTGTATTATTTTCCGTATGAACAACTGTAAACCTACTTTTGCCCCACCCTGTATTATATGGAAAACTTCAGAAATGAACAACTCATGTTTTACATTGTACACCATTCTGAGTAGTGAGATGAAACCTTGTGCCATCTCAACCAGGACGTGAATCTTTCCTTCTCATTAGCCTGTTTCCATATCGCAGCACTCATATTCAAGTAACCATAACCTAACACTACGTCACAATCCTATATTATTCACCTCATTTTGTATCACTGCACATCATCGCAAGAGTGAACACAGTACAGTAATATATTTTGATGGAAAAAGATCACATTCACATAACTTTATTATAGTATATTATAATTATTCTATTAGTTATTGTTGTTAATCTCTTACTGTACCTAATTTATAAATTAAACTTCATCATGGGTATGTATGTATGTTTTGGAAAAATGCATAGTACATATATAGGGTTTAGTATCATCCTCAGGTATCTATTGGAGTCTTGGAACATATCCCCCACAGATACGAGAGGACTACTGTAATGGATTGAAACAGTAGAATCAAATACAAAGATATATTTTGATTTTAAAACATATTAAGATTTTTGTCAAGAAGCAATAGATTTATATACATTTGGGAAAATGTGCCCATTTCTTAAGCATATACTTGTTAAACAGGTGTGTTCAATTCCAGGATAAAAAGTTCTGAGAAGAAGTCAGGCTTGATTTTTTTAAAATCACATAGATGAGTTAAGAGTTGATTCTGGCCGAACCGGTTTGGCTCAGTGGATAGAGCGTCGGCCTGCGGACTCAAGGGTCCCGGGTTCGATTCCAGTCGGGGGCATGTACCTTGGTTGCGGGCACATCCCCACTGGGGGCCGTGCAGGGGGCAGCTGATCGATGTTTCTCTCTCATCGATGTTTCTGGCTCTCTATCCCTCTCCCTTCTTCTCTGTAGAAAATCAATAAAATATATTTTTAAAAAAAAAGAGTTGATTCTGGCTCTAGTATGGCTTCCTCATAACCCATTCAATTTTAAGGGGGGGGTGGATATAATGTGAGAACAATTGTCACTGTATGAAAGCACTTTGAAAAGGGACATCTACATACATGTAAAATAGATGACAATATTAAGTCGTTAATTTGCAACTTCCAAGTAAGAGGGTTTAATAAATACCAAAATGTGTTTTTTTAATTAGTCATAAAATTAATAGGCTTCTTGAGATGATCGTAACATGCCTGTGAGTCTGTTTACCTCTATGGGAGTCCCACAATTTGGGCAGTTCTTTGAGTTCTTTTCTAGCCACTCTTTACTTTCCATTTCTTCCAGTGCCTTCTGAATCACCCTCTTACCATACCTCTGTTCCAGAAATCTTTTATTGTCCTCATCTGCTTGCAGGTACTCATTTTGTAAGTCTATTAATTTCTCTAGAAAGTGAAATGGAAAATTAACTTTTATATAACTTTGCAATGCTGATTAAAAACTATTAAAAATGGCTATAACCTTTGACTACTCAATAATGCTACCTCTGGGACTTTATCATAATCCAAAGTAAAGTTATATGCATGGAAATGCACATAACAATGGCAAACAAATGAAATGTCCAAGGAAATAATTATGTGCGAAAGCGTCATTTGTGACATAATATTGTTATTAAAAACTTATAGTTAGGATGGCTACAGCTCAATTAAAAAACTCATTACAGAATCCAGAAAAAAAGCGCATTTAGGTTATGACTAGGTGAAACTAGACATGCACAAATAACAAAGAACAAAAAGGAATCCTCCAACTAGAAAAGTTGAATTTGGTAAAGGTAGTAGAATAATAGGTTATCTTTTCCTTTTGATTTTGACTTATTAATGTTGATATGTTTGTACAATTAGTGGTGTACAGTTAAGGACTGACTTATCTAAAAAACGCAAAGGTTGAAACAGACACTGATTTTCCACTAACTCAGCATCATTCACCATCTATATACAGTGGGGTCTTGACTTACGAGTGTCCCCACTAACGAGTTTTTCGAGATACGAGCTCTTGGCCGATTTTTTGCTTTGAGTTGCGAGCTAAAATTCGGGTTACGAGCCAGCTTCAGATACCCCACCGCTAGTTGGTGCAGCGAACGTCACAGTGAACGCCACAACATCAGCCTAGCATCACGTGTCTCACTCGTTCACTTCTTGATTTGACATACGAGTAATTTGAGTTACGAGCTCCATCACGGAACGAATTAAACTCGTAAGCCAAGGCCCCACTGTACATATAAAAGCCTAAGCGACAGGCCGACAGGCCGACTGGCTGACTGGCTGGTAGCTATGATGCACTCTGACCACCAGGAGGCAGACGCTCAGTGCAGGAGCTGCAGAGCGACAGCAACTTTGCAGAGTGCCCTCTTGCACTCTGGGAACCCTCAGAGGATGTCAGACTGCTGGGCGAGGGACACCACCAGTGCACAAATCCATGCACCAGGCCTCTAGTTTGATAATAACAAGGTTTATCAAATAAACAAAAGCACCTTTGGCTTAAGGGCAAAGACGGTTTAATTTGGTATATTAAAAAAAAGTCAGCGAATAAAATTTATCACCCACAGCTACTAAAAAGTTCCTCCTGACACCTTTCCCCTTGATACTCTTCAATCTGATTTCTATTTATCACTTAAATGAATAGGCAGCCATTCCCAAAGCCTTTACTTATACACAAAAGGCTTTTGTTCATAATCCTATTATCTTAATTTTTCAACAGGATTAAGTAAAGACTCTCAACAATGTTAATTATTTTGTGTTCCTAGATATATTAAGGACAAAGGTTATTGCTCTAATGTTCTCAAAATAATAAAAATGCTAGTATTTCATATATTTTATATGGTAAAATCTAACATCTATAAATATATATATATATATATAGAGAGAGAGAGAGAGAGAGAGAGAGAGAGAGAGAGAATCAGATGCCAAATTTTACTGAAGCCCCTAAGTCTACCTTCGATTTTTTCCTCAAATGCTGTGAAACACGTGAAATGTACTTTAGCCTCTCAATGCTAAGGTTACAGAAATCTAATAAATGGCTTATAATTATGCTGTGGTGAGTTCTTCAACCCATCTACTGGACCACTACAAGACTCTGCTCTAGGCAATGGCAGCACCTACTCATTCTCCTCAAGGTACTTTCCTGAAGATAATAACACTCTAACAGTGCCAACTAGTAACTATAATAATAATGGCATTAATAATTACCACTTTGCCCTAGTTGGTTTGGCTCAGTGGATAGAATATCGGCCTGTGGACTGAAGGGTCCTGGGTTCAATTCCGGTCAAGGGCACCAAAATCCTATATAATAAAGAGCTAATATGCAAACAGTTGTCACACCCTCACGCCGTAAGGGCTCAGACACTCAACACTGGGAAGAGAAAAATGGGGACCAGCCAGGCACAAATGAGCTTGCGAGAGAGGAATGGGGACCAGCCAGGCTGCAGCCCGGGAGAGGGACAAGCCACCCGCCCCATGGTACCGGGTGCCAGTGGCTACGGCTGCGCCATCGGCCCGGGAGAGAGACAAGCTGCCCGCCCCACGGTCTCCATGGTCCCCATGGTCCTGGGCGCCAGCAGCTGTGCCTGCGGTCCAGGAGAGAGACAAACCACCCGCTCTGTGGTCCCGGGTGCCTGCGGTTGCGACCCAGGCGAAGCCGCCCATCCACAGTCCCCTGAAGCTGCAGCCGACCTGGGCAAAACCGGCCCGGGTCCTGGGTGCCTGCGACCGGCCGGAGGAGGGAATCCTGGGTCCCAGGTGCGGGGCGAGGCAGAGGCAGTTAGGGGCGATCAGGCCAGCAGGAGAACAGTTAGGGGTGATCAGGCAGGCAGGCAGGTGAGCAGTTAAGAGCCAGCAGTCCCAGATTGTGAGAGGCAGTTGGACATCCTCCGAGGGGTCCCGGATTGGAGAGGGTGCAGGCCAGGCTGAGGGGCCCCCCCCACCCCCCGCCCACACACACACCCCTGCATGAAATTCGTGCACCAGGCCACTAGTAAATAAATAAAACTAGTTACCACTTGCCTTTTACATGTATTGGCCCATTGTTCTCAAATTATCTATGGTGAAGGACTAGTTTTTCTCCCCTACTCTGTCAAGGACCAATACTTTTATTTATTTTTTTAAATATATTTTTATTGATTTTAGATAGGAAGGGAGAGGGAGAGAGATAGAAACATCAATGGTGAGAGAGAATCATTGATCAGCTGCCTCCTGCACACCCAGGGCATGTGCCCTGACTGGTAATCAAACTATGACTTCCTGGTTCATAGGTCGATGCTCAGCCACTAAGTCACACTAGCTGGGCAAGGACCAACACTTTTGAAAAATACAATCAAATGAATTTCTTCCTTACAATAACCCTAAAGTAGCTATTATCATCATCCCTGTTAGTTTGAGAAAGACTAAGTCCATTTAAATGAGAGTCCAGTTAAATCTATGTCAAAGGCCTGCCTTCTCAATCCTTATCTAGATCAGAAATGGCAAACAGATTACATATCTTGTGTCTACTTCAACAGAGGATGGCTTTCTGAAGTGCTGTGTTCAGGAAGATTCTGAGGCCTCCCTGACCTCAATGAGAAAACACACTTGATGACTGATCAGACATATGTGCCATGGAAACAAGAGTGACAGCTATGCATCTGCCAGCCAGAACAGACATTATTTCACGTTCATAGATAAAAATGACCTTGCCATTCCTTCCCTGGACTGTTGTCCCCTGATAACTGCATGACTTGTTTCCTTAATTCCTCCAAGTCTTTACTCAAATCACTTTGCCAGTGAGGCTTCCCCCTGGCTTTCCAAAGTAAAATCCCAAGCTCCTTCCCCTTCAGAACACTTAATATCCTATCTCTGCTTTATTTTTTTTCCTCCTTAGCACTTACTATCATCTGATATTTTTTACATGTTGTTTGCCTGTCTCCTCCATTAGAATGTAAGTTTCATGAAGGCATTTGATCACTAATATATCCACCGAAGTGAGGACAGTATCTAACACAAAAGTTTCTGTTGAATAAATACTTCCAAATGGAAAACTCAAGTGATGAGTTTGGGGGTTTTGGTGGGGGGATGGGGGACAAGAGAACTGAGTTCATTGATACAACTTACCTGCCGTGAGCTTACACGGAGAGACGCCATGGTAGGTCAATCTGCATAAGGTACAGAAGGCAAAATTGCAGCTGGAGCAGATGCCCATGGTGCAGCCAGGCTCCTGCATCACAGGCAGCTGGCAGCATGGGCGGGGGCAGTACACCACATCTGCCATCAGGTCCAAGGTGGACTGGAGAAGCAGCCGATCGTAACGGGCAAATAACTCTGCTTCTACTAGCTCTTTGACCTGGAGTAAAATATTTTAAAACACAGAGGTTTGACAATTTCCCAACTAGTTCTGTTCCTGAGGATATACTTAGGCTGCTGGGGCAAATCAGATGCACATAAATGAAACCCCTCTACCTCACTTCAAGATCAAAACAAGCCCAGCTGGTGTGGCTCTGCGGTTGAATGTTGACCAATGAACCAGGGGTCACGGTTTGATTCCAGTTCAGAGCACATGCCTAGGTTGTGGGCTCAATCCCCAGTAGGGGGCATGCAGGAGGCAGCCTATCAATGATTCTCTCTCATCACTGATGTTTCTCTCTCTCTCCCCCTCTCACTTCCTCCCTTTCTGAAATCAATAAAAATATATTAAAAAAATAAGATCTAACCAAGTATGGCAAGTCTGTATCTTGACTGAGATGGTGGTTACATGGATCTACACATTTGTCAAAACTAAGCAAACTGGCCCTGGCGGGTAGTTCAGTTGGTTAGAGCACTGTCCCGATACGCTAAGGTTGCAGGTTTGATCTCTGGTCAGGGTACATACAAGAATCAACCAATGAATGCATAAATAACTGGAACAACAAACTGATGTTTCTTTCTTGCTCCCTTCCTCTCTTTCTCTAAAAATCAATACATTAAAAAAAAACACAAAAAAACTAAGCAAACTGTACACTTTAAATAGGTACATTTATGCCTTCATAAATTTAATTTTTTAAAATCCCACCAAGCAAGCTGTCCTTATGTTACAGTCTATAAATGATTTGGTTAACCATTCCAAGGGATACCCCTTCAGATCCCAACCTCACACAAAGACAGGCAGTGATTCTCCAAGGTCGATGGCATTTTAGTAAATATACAAAGTAAGTCACCAGAATTACTTTACACCTTTTCAACATTCATCCCTGCTGAGGACTGCCCATTCTGAGGCCAGCAAAGAAAGCATTTATGTATGCTTAAATGGTAAAGACCATAGCATTCTTTTAATTCTCACCCGAGGAGTGAGGATATTTTTTTCCATTGAGTTTTAGAGATGGTAGAAGGGAGGAGGGAAGGGGAGGAAGAGAGATAGGAGAGAAAACACCAATGTGAGAGTGACACATCAATTGGTTGCCTCCCATGTGTGCCCTGACCAGGGGTAAGGATTGAATCTGCAACCCAGGTACATGTGCAGGCTGACGCTCCAATCACTGAGTAACGTTGGCCAGGGCAAGGCCATAGCATTCTTTTTTTTTTAAAACTCCTTTCTTTTATTTTTTAAAAATATATTTGTATTGATTTCAGAGAGGAATGGGAGGAAGAGACACAAACATCAATGATGAGAGAAAGTCATTGATCTGCTGCTTCCTGCACGCCCCATACTAGGGATAGAGCCCACAACCTGGGCATGTGCCCTGACCAGGATTAAACCCTGACTTTCTGGTTCATAGGTCGATGCTCAACCTCTGAGCCACGCAGGCCAGGCAAAACCAGAGTATTATTGATGGATACAGTGAAACAACTTGTGGGCTGGCTCCAAGATCTCAGAATGCCCTGATGAGCCCTAGCAAGGAAGTTCCTGAGATGTCTCCCTTTGTGAAATGAAATCAGGATGCAGCTGTCGGTAAAGTTACCTGACCAGGAGTAGCCACTGAAGGGCACTTGGGTTCTGGGCAGTTGAGGCATTTAACTTGGCCATCTTTGATCTGGATTTCAAAGTAGTCCTTCAGACAGGCTTTGCAGTACACATGTCTGCACTCCAAGAAGTGCATGCATTCACTACCCAGCTTCTCACAGAAACAGATATTGCACAGGAACAATTTACTATTAAAGCATTTTATCTGCTGAGCTTGATCAAAGTCCAAGATTTCCTGGATCAGACTGGACAACGATTCCACATCCTGCACGGCTCTCTCATCCACAACTTCCTCTTGGTCTACAGCAGATCCAGCTGCTCCTCTACAATCTAGCTCTGTGTTGGCAGAGGCTTGAGCCGTCCTTCTCTGCAATTTTTTCTGAGAACCGATCTTGAGCTCGAAAGGAGAGACAATATTCAGGTACCCTAGGGTCTCTTCCTTAAGAAACTGCATCCAGGCAAACAGGACCACATTGCCACGGTGTTCTTCCCACAAGTTGTCTAAGTGCTTGCAGAGAGCAGACAGCTAGGAGAAAACACACGAGGATGCAGGTGAGTTTGGAAAGATCATGATGTTTTCAACTCGTGATTTCCCTTGAAATTTTAAGTTAAGCTCTCACACTTCCTAAAATGATTTTTTTTCCACTGCTGTGATACACTGTGCTATAAAACAGCACCAATATTCATTCTTATCGAATCACTTCTTAAATTATTCAGCAACATGAACCATAGTAGAAGACAAAGTCAGAAGCTAGAGGAAGTACCATGAAAACAAGAGAGATGGTATGACTGCACAACATGTAGAACTAGGTTTACATATGCTCTGCTGAATGGAGGACTTTCTCTGTTCTTTAACTGTCCTTTGTGTTAACATTGCTATACCTCATGTACGAGAAAGAAATCCAGTTCTAAAATTAACTGTTTCTATTCCTGTCGAGCCTTAGCCCTGTAGATACCCTGCAGTAATAGTTAGAAAGAGAACAGTTTAAAGGTTTTAAAATTAATTCTTCCAAATCCTATCAAAAAGTCAGCTCATGAAAAGATCAGTAACAGGATCCAACCTCAGAGTCCTTGTTACTCAGATTTACAAGCTGGTTTTAACTAAGCAATCTGGGCTTATACCAGAACCTGGTTAATGGGGGCAGACAGACTGATATTGAACCTGGACATGATTACAAGCCTGCAATGTGGTTTGGCTGCCATAGGGAAAATTCACACTTTCTAAGGTAAGCAACCAAAGTTTAAACTATTTCAACTTTTCTACCTTAGAAGTAGTCTGTTTTATTTGAATGACCAATATAAGAGGACTCTCTATTAGAAATGTGAAATATTTGTAAGCAGAACTCAGGAATTACAAACAGGTTTTCTTTTTAGGCAAACAAAAAAATTAAGTCTTCCAGATGCAAATAAATTTTGTAAATTTAAATAACAAGTGAACAAGGACTACATTTTCTGTTCCTTGCTGCTCACTCAACCCTACACAGGCGTGAACTTAAACCACTAGTGATTTTCCACATTTCATGAATATGCTTATAAGATCAACCACACTTTAGAAACCTGTTGAAAGCTGTAAAATGGAGTAAACACTAAAAGGGAAGCTTTGAGTTCTGTTTGAGCAAAATCCAATGAAGAAGCCATTCTCTTCCATCCTCTTTTCTCCAGCCCCTTCTCAAAAGAGGCATAAGGGATATACATAAATGTGAGAAAGGGGAGAGAGAAAGAGGAAAAGAGAAAAAGAGAGACTGTGCATGTATATATATTGGGAGAGGAATAATGGAAAATATAAGAAAACTAAGCCTAGTTCCCTTCTATTTACCAACCCCAATTCAGTGAAAGACAGGTCCATGTGTCAACTTCCCTATCAACAGGTGAAATTCATAATGCCAAGGAATCAGGGCCCAGCAACAAACAAGAACTGAACCAAGAAAGAGTATAAAAGATGAGTTAAATGTCAATTACATACACAAAATTTTTATTTGATAGAAAATCCTACTGTAATTTTAGCTATATAACATAAAATAATGAACAACTCTCCTCTCTTACACCCTCCAAAGCTAGTATTAAGTAGATTCTATTTGACTGAATCTGAAACTACCTACAGCCACACACCCTATTAATCTGTCCTTGTGTGGTACGTGTGTGTGTGTGCATATGCATACACACGTATGGATATAAAGTATCAGGAGTTCTCTTGAGAAATGGAACTATAAATATCTAAATAATTTAGTCAACTATCAGTGATCTAAATGTCAAATAGCCTTTAATATTGGGAAGTGGGCAAATAATTCACTGTCTAGCATGTATTGCCTCTGGCACAGCTATTAGAATGTAAGGTAATACTCCTTTTTATTCTATGTGTATTATCTTTTTTTAAGTTTAATTTTTGTTTTTAAAGCTCAATTTTATAAAAGCACTCTTATCTAAAGATTAGACTATTGGGGCAGGGAGAAGAGAGGGAATGAAAAATACACGATCAAAAAGGAAAAACTGACAAGCTGTTCCTTAAGGTCAATAACTCTGACAGCTTTTGTCTTAATATACATCAATCTATCAATCTTCATCATGACTTCTAGAAAAGTAGCTGCTATTGATCCATTATCTACCTCAGAACACTCTATATTAGCTTCAAGTCATCTTTATGTCTCAATCACGAGTTAAGGTTGTTACTAGAAAAGGTTATAAAATCTAGAGGAAGTTACTGTTCATAATATAAGGTCTCCAGCCTTCATGAGCTATCTACAGGAATCATATACATTTCTATTTGTGTGTAATCATATCGGTGTGAGAGACCAGTCAACAATTATTTGTTCTTATTATTCAGAGCTTTAAAAATAAAAGCACTTCTGTTTATTTAAGAAATGTGTTTATTCTAACTATAATAGATCAATTTTAGTCCTCCTAATTACAATCGAATCTTTCTTTTAAGGAATGGATAAGAAACTAAGAAAAAAAGAGTAATTCCAACATCTAAGGAAAATGAGGAGAAACTTATTGTTTCATCACAATACAGAGTAAATGGGAAAATAGCAAAAAAAGAAAAGAAACAATATACTTGATTAGAAATTACTCCTATTGCAATTCATAATGATTAATAATTTTAATACTGCCATTCCTTTCTAAAGCACCAAACATTTTCAACCCATTAACATTAGGATTCATGAAGGCAAGGGGAAAAAATTACAAAATCCAAAGCCATCTGTTCTCCATGCATTGAAGTCAAGATCAAGGTAGTCTTCAATTAAAGATGATTTTTTAAGTTTCTAAAAATGGATAAGAGAAATTAAGTTTCGGGTCTAACCTGAGTTGGTGACAGCCATTTGCCACTAAGTGTGAATGAAGGTGGGGAGGAGGATGGATAATCTGGTGGCAGTTCAAAGTTCAGCACAAGTGGAGGCAGAAAGCAAATGGTGTATTCAAAGCCACTATTCTGGAGACACTCATTTGAATTGCCTGAACCAAAAACAAAGATTAGAAAGGATCAGTTGGTCAATACTTGAGTGTCCATTACTGTTGAGCAGTGCTCAAGACTTAATGTTTTTGTTGAGGGGATAAAAACCCTCCCCCAAAGCACTTTCTATTTCCTAATTTTAACTTCTTAGCCGCCACCTTAAAAAAAAAAATCTTGTAAGCCCTTGAAAAATCTACTAAGCACCATGAAATTTATAATGATGATACACAACTTACTCTTGTATTCACTTTTGAGTACAATTCCTAACAGTAAAGAGCAAGTAATACACAATGTTTTCTTTTGTTACTATTTTACAGTAGATGATTAAAAACACAATCTAGAGAAAGGCATGTTTATTCCTATCAAAGAGCCATGACCTACTTAGATCAGCATGTATCAACTACCCATGAATCATAGTTGGGACAATTTGTTCCAACATAATGATCTCAGGCTTGAGGACAAGATACAGCACACAACACAATCAAAGTTTCATTTTACATTATCACACTTTCTTTTCTCAATGCCTTTATAATAGAAATATTTGAGAAAGTGTGTATCAGTCTCCTGTAAATGTTTGTATCAAATAAAGCAATTTTTTTTCTGAAGCAAAGGGTCACAGAGTAATAGCACATGTCGCATGTTTATAGTAGTTTAAATCAGCGGTCGCCAACCGGTGGTCTGTGAGGTCCAATGGTTGGTGACCACTGGTTTAAGGAAACCTTTGGAGCAGCAGTCGCCAACTGGTGGTCTGCGGACCACTGGTGGTCCATGAGGTCTGAAAGGTTGGTGACCGCTGGCTTAAATAATTCTGGAAAACAAATAGTATTAACCACCACGATACTTTAAAGCTTCCAAGTGTTTTCGCATACATTATTTAATTTCCTCTTTTATTATCTCTATTTAATAGCCCATGAGTCGTGGCTGATAAACTGCTAGTTAGAAGATTAGAATGCATGGAATATGCAGGATAATATCCTAAATTCTATGGTCAAAAGGTGGAATCAAATTGAAAACTGTTTACCTCCCAGTTCAATTTTCACTTAAAACAGAAACATGCACTAAATCTGTAATAATACCACTTATCACTGATGCTTAAACACACAAGGAGATAAATAATTTAGGTTTCAAACTCATAGATACAGCGACAGACTGACAGTTGTCAGAGTGGAGAGAGGAAGGGGGGCTGGTTGAAAAAGATGAAGGGATTATGCAGTATAAATTGATAGTTACAGAAGAGTCACAGAGATGTAGATTACAACATAGGGAATATAGGTAACAACAGCAATAACTATATATGGGACCAACTGGGTACTTGAAGTACATGGTATTCTAACCACTTTGCTGTACATCTGAAACTAATATAGAATAATACTAAATGTAATATAGAATAATACTAAATGTAGACTGTAATTGAAAAACAAATAATTTAAGTTTCACTAAGAAATTGAGAATAATCTTCATTTAGAAAAATCAGTTTAAAAGAACATTATTAACTAACCGCTCACAAATATCTTGAAATTTTGTGGCAAGTCCAAACTCTGCTTTTCTAAATTCATCTCCATCATAAATACTCGCCAGGGCCAGCAATTCATCCTCCTGGGCTTCTCGGTCTTCTGCCGACATTTAATTTTCTGAGGAGCTAAAGACAGTTACATCAGTTAAGAACAGGAAAGGCTGAGTTTGGAAAAGTCTAGTAGCACACAAACACACATACACAAAAAATTCCTCGTAAAGAAGTGCAAAGGATTAATCAATATTCTCACTATTCTGCTAAACTAAAAAATGACAGGCATGTCTAATATTCTAGTAGCTTTGCAATAGTAACAGCCTTTTTTCCAAAAAGAATGACTGTGGTGCTTCTAACTGCTGACTTTATCAGTTAATATAACTAATTTAGGGGGAAAAGCATAATGTAAAAAATTTTTTTAAGGACAAATCCCAAATTAGTTTGGCTTGTCCACTAAACCTAGCAACATGCCCTGCCCACAAAAGAAGTCAAAGTATATTTGATATACTTTTAAAAAATAAATGAATTTTTTAAATCCACAGGAATCTCTACGGCAGGTTTTCTCAACCTCAGCACTATTGACGTCGGAATAAATAATTCTATGTTGTGAGATGCTGTCCTCTGTATAGGATGTGTAACAGTAACCCTGGCTTCAACCAACTAGATTTCCTTCAAGAGTTGTAACAATAAAAAAATAAAAAAAAGAGTTGTAACAATCAAAAATATCTGGACACCCTAACTGGTTTGGCTGAGTGGATAGAGCATTGGCCTGAGGACTGAAGGGTCCCGGAAGGGTCCCGGGTTTGATTCCAATCAATGGCACATGCCCGGATTGTGGGCCGCTCCCCAGTAGGGGGCGTGCAGGAGGCAGCTGATCAATGATTCTCATCATTGATGTTTCTATCTCTCTCTCCCTCTCCCTTCCTCTCTGAAATCAATAAAAATATATTTAAAAAACAAAACAAAAATATCTGGACATAGCCAAATATTCTGAAGGGACAAAATTACTCACAGTTTAGAAAACCCTGTTCTAGAAATGTTATAGGCACAGATACTATATAAGAGAATTAGGTAACTAAGGAAGCAGCAAAGTAACATTAAATTTTGGAAATACCAAATTTTGTCAAATCAAGTTTAAGATTTATCATTATTTTAGGTAACACAAATATGCTACAATTAAAGTATGAATCAATGCTTTTTAATCACAGCAACTAAAATACGTACCAAAATTTCAGATAATTTAAATGTAAAAAAATATGAATGAGAATCTATGAAAATAGTTTAATCAAAACAACAAAAATTTACCATTCTGTCAATTAAAATATTGGGACTATAATTGCATTTGCAAATATTCTCCCTCTTAACAAAAAATTTTTTTATTGAAATGTATAAAACTAAGTTAGGACATGGCTTTTCAGATTATAAAAGGTGACACTACAAAATTTAGACAAATTCATTTAAAATAATGCCACTTTCAAAAAATAATTGCTCCAACATATGAAAATAGTTCTGCTTATGCTGCATCCCTAAGACAATGACATGTTCCATTTGAGGTCAGTTAGTACCTGTTAATAATAACAAGAAAAGAATATGAACACTGCAGTCTATTTCAGTTCAGAGTCTGGAATTCATGCAAATATCCCATTTATTCTCCAGATGGTGGAGATGAGACTGCTGAAGTTGGATAAGAGGCCAAGATGTGGAACTCATACTAGATATACTATAGAAATCCTGCCATCTACAGAAAAAAACACAAAAGATGGTGTTAGCACCCTCTCCAAATTTAAATTCTGAATTTCCATTATTGCCACTTAAATCAAACACACAGTCAATCCTAATCTGCAGCTGAATACTACTCTCCCAGAACAGCCTGAGTCACATGGTTAAAGGGGCATTTTCGTGTATCCAGCAGAGAGAGGTCTTATCTGACATTTTCAGCCTTGGGAGGAGCTGAGAAGGACCACCAAGGAAATGAGACAAGTCTTATCTTACTGATTTCAGACCTGGGAGGAGCTGAGAAAGACCGTCAAGGTCATGAGAGGAGAGTACATCACAAAACCCTTGAAAAACATCTAGTTTTTGTTTCTCCTTTCTTCTGCTGCTGCTTCTGTTCCTTCATTTCCTATCCCCCTCCAGTTTTTCCTCTCACTGCTAATGAATTAATCCTGCAAAGGGACACTCCACATTAGGTAATGGAAGCATGACAGTAGAATATTTAAAAGCACTTACACACATGCATACAGGCAAACTTTTTTTAAGAAACTGTTTATTTTCTGTCAACCTTATTTCCATTCTGTTAAGAGTTTGTGGAAGAACAGCTTAAGACCATTCAGTAGTTGTTCCTACCCATTCAGTGGCCTGAGCAGTGGTGGCTGCAGACCAGCCTTCAGTGGCAAGCTGAGCGCTCATCTTCAGTAGGAAACTGCTGAATAGGCAGAGGGCACCTACATGCCTTCAGACCAGTCTGGGACCTCAGGTTGAGCAGCAGTGAACTCGGGAGCTGGAACAGCCCATTCACTCTGAAATTTCTCGTGGGTCACAGCCTTTCAGCAGCAGCCTGCTCTTCCTTTTCAATCTCTTCAGGATCTCTGTAGAAGTAAAAATCAGGCATGACCTCCCATGGGTGTTCACGGGAGGTGGTGCCATGCATGCGCAGAACTTCCCGGGCCAGCATCCACCATGAGACCCACTGAGCTAGCCCGCTGGTTGTTGCAAAGGGTGGCAATGTCCACATAGTACAGAGGACAGTCTGTGTTACACAGAGCAATGGTGGGCAGGCTAACATAAGACGCCTCTGTGAGAGGCTGGTGGTCAGCCCTGGGATCAGAAGTCTTGGCTCCAAAGGCTGCTTGGATGTGGTTAGTGAAGGTTCCAGGAGTGAAGTGCCCAGAAATAGGAGTGGGTCCAATGGCAGCCGCAAGCTTCAGCAGAGCTCACTGGCCAGTGTTCCTGGATGATATGACACTGACATCAGCGGGGTTTTCAATGGTGACAATGGCATGAGCTGCCAGCAAAAGCTTCTCCCAGGTTCTCTTCAGATTTATGATGCAAATGTCATCACTTTTCCTTTAGTAGATGCACTGTTCCATTTGGAAGTCAAGATTGGTGCCACCTCAGTGGGTTCCTGCTGCAAGGAATTTGAGGACATCCTCCTCCTTTATTTGCAGGAAACCAAGGGCTCTGGACAGTGTAAAAGTTTCCCTTTAAGTTGCGTGGGCATCAAGAGCAACGCTGTATGGGCCCCCTCAGGGTAGCGAGGAAAGACTAAGTTCATTCTAAATACTTTAGAGCCCTAGCTGGTTTGGCTCAGTGGATAGAGCATCAGACTGCAGACTGAATGGTCCCAGGTTCGATTCTGGTCAGGGCACATGCCCAGGTTGTGGGCTCGATCCCCAGTTGGGGGCGTGCAGGAGGCAGCCGGTCAATGATTCTCTCTCATCATTGATGTTTCTCTCTCTCTCTCCCTTCCTCTCTGAAATCAATAAAAATATATTTAAAAAATAAAATAAATAAAAAATAAATGCTTTAGAGCCAGGCTTCTGAGCTGGGAGTGGGAGTGAGGGTAAAGGGAGGGGTAGCCCATAGATGAGTTATGGAGAATCCTATGAACACCCCAAAATTATGCAAAAGTATGATATGAAACCATAATTTTAAAAACAGATTCTCAGATGTATGACTCTCAAATAAGCTGTAAATGAAATTCAGAATCAATTTACATTTATTGAGCACCTACGATGTACTGTATTAAGTCCTTTCAAATGACCTTATTTAATTTTAAACAATTTTACCAGATGTAATTAAGCTTAACATAATTAAGCTGTTTCTTCCTACTTAAATATTTATAAGTGGGGTGAGAGATGAATTTATAGTTTCTGGTTTTAGGTTAGTTTTTTCCATAATGTCAGCACATTAGAGCCACCTGAGCAATTAAATCAGATTATCAGTGATCTTAATGTGCCACCAGGATTGAGATCTACTCCAAGCAGTTTCCCATCAACCGTTCCTCATGATCTACCCCACCACACCCCAGCTTCTGAAGCTGCCATGGGGGTCCCAGTCCTTTAATCCAGGTCGCTGACCTACATTTCCCTCTGATTCTATCCACTTAGCCTTCCAGACCCACCTCCAAAGCCCCTACTCTATGTAGAAATTTCTAATTAGTTGTCATGCCTGTCTAAAAATCCAGCAAACTTTTTTAATGTAACTTTCCTATGACACTGTCTGGGGGGCTGAAGCCCACCTTGCATGACAATAGTTTGCACTTTCTCACCTACCAGACTGCTTAAGTTCCTTAAGGGTGAGAATCAAGTCCTTTGCGTGTGTGTATTTTTCTCAGCATCTGGCAGTGCCTTGCAGTAGACACTGGAAAAAATTAGAAGTGCATTGGAGTGAGATGCAGTGTGCTGAGATGGGGAGCCAGAATCATACAGCTCAGTAACTGCTCTGCCACGTCCCACTAGAAGCAGGAGGTTGGGCTGGTGTCACAGTAACAGCAAGAACACGGAGGTCGGCAAAGGGGACGAAAACTTTGCTTGAGGTGATGGGCCCACGATGCAGTGTGCAGATGATGTTTTATTGAGCTGGACACCTGAAACCTGTATGTCAACCCCAATAAATTCGATTTAAAAAAAGAATGTCAATTTTGAGTTATGTCAATAACTCAAAAACAACAATAACCCAAACCAGCAAGAACAGTTAATACTTGGTGAGCTCTTACCGTGCGTAAGCCCTTTCAATGCATTAACTCCTGCTAGAGTCCCACAACCCAGGAAGCAAGTGCTATCACTATTTCCATTACATAGATGAGAAAAAATGGCATTTTGGGTCCTTTTCCGGCCCAAGGCCATACAGCTCATTAATACATAACTAAATCTGGATTCAGCCCACCCTGTTTCTTCACCGGTAACACAGGACCCAGAATAAATCCTGGCGCAATCAGACAAGAGATAATCCCAGGTTGACATTAGTTTGGGCAAACTGGAAACCGCTACCCTGCGGAGGGCAGCCCCTCCTCCGCGGTCCCCTGCGGCCCGGGAAAATCTCCTCCCTCTCCCGGGCCTCTCCCGGGCCACACCCGGGGACTCCGGAGCTGGGGTCAGCCCGGCTCCGAACCCGCACGCCGCCGCCGGCGCCTCCACCGCTCGCCAGCCCGCGTGCAGAGTCGTAGTCCGTGCGACTCACCTACACCCGGGGAGCAGGCCCAAGCCGCGCTCGCTGCCCCGCGCCGGGACACAGGGCGCAGTGCGGCCGCGTGAGGTCCCGCGGAAGCCGGGGCTGGCCCCTCCGGTCTTTCAGCGCCCTGGGGCGGGGCGCGGTCTTAGCCGGGCCGGACTGGGGGCGCCCCGTCCGGTGTCTGTGGGGGGCTGAAGCCCACTGAGCTGCCCCGGCCCGGCCGCCCTTCTCGGTCTCGCGTGCACCGAGCGCTGGCCCCACCGTTCCTTCCGGCGAGCCGACCGTGCCGGGCCCGAAGGTTCCGCCCTCCGCCCTCGCCCGAGGCCCCTCCAAGCCTCTCGCCCGACCGGTCCGGAGACGCCCGGCTCAACCTGCGCACCGCCTCTTCCGCCTTAGGAGCTGTCAGCTGAGCCAGGTGGATCCGGCTGGGGCGGCCCGGCGTGAGGACCACTCTGCGCAGCCGCGGCGGCCGCCCAGGCCCCTCGGCCGCCCCCCGCAGGCGGAAGGCTGCGCTGCAGGCGGGACCGCCGTCACTCCTACCCCTGCGGGGGCAGAAGTACTCCGCGTGGGAAGTTGATAGAAAGGCAGATCTGAGACCCCGTGCCCAGCGGGCTCCTTTCAGTGGTTCTGGGATAGGGCCCGGGAATTAGGATTTGTACCAATCCCAGAGGGGATCGCGAGGCAGCGGTGTACGTGAGGCAGACACTCCCGTAACAATCCTAGACTTGCTCCTCCAGGGAGACTTAAGCAAGCCTCCTCGCGCTCCTCTGATCCCAGCTACCTTCTTAGAAATGCTGCCCATCTTTCTGGCACCTCCACGATGAAAGTATTCATTCATTGTTCATTTTATAACAATAATAACTGTAGGAGACAGGCCTCTGTGTAGAATTATTCCGCAGCATCGTCAACTGTTAGAAAAGAAACAGCCTGTGGGCAGCGGGTTACTGAATTTCTCCAGGGCAAACAGGATGGGGGAAGAGGGGGAATGGAAAGGGCATGAGAACCAAGAACTGTGCCCATGAGACCAATAGCACATTTCCCAGGAAGATCCGCCTAGAGTCTAGGGCCCCTAGACAAAAGGAGGTGGAGACGATTAGAAAAGGCCTCAGTCCGTTTTTTTAAATAACCCAATTGGAGACAATAAGACCTAGGCGATGTATGGGGAGAGACTGTTAATTCCTTAGTATTCAGCCAATGAGGAGGGACTCTCCCACTATAGAGTTAAATTGCCTGTGATCACTGCTCTGTGTGTGTCTGCCTGCCCACAGACACCAGCTCTCCAGAACTTAGTTTTTGCCATGCTTTATGTCTCTGAGTCCAGTTATTTGAATTCAGACAGGTGAGAATTTCTCACAATAACTGTCAGGTGAGAATTTCTCACAATAACTACTGAGCAATTAGGATGCTTCAAGCACTGTGCTAAGTGCTTTATGAACATTGTCTGTCTTCACTATAGCCTTACGATTTAGGTACTATTTGTTATTCCCACTTTATAAATGAGGAAACTGAAATTTAGGTTTAAGAACTTACCAAGGGGCACATGATTATTGAGAGAGACTGAGCAAGAATTAAAATTACATTTCCCCTGCCTCATGCCATATACAAAAATTAACTCAAAAAGGATCAAAGACCTATATGTGAGAGTTAAACTAAGTATAAAACTCTTAGAAGGAAGTGTAGGAATAAATCTTCATGAACTTGGATTAGGCAATAGTTTATTAGATATAACACCAAAGCACATGCAACAAAAGAAAAATAAGTTGGATTCACCAAAATTAAAAACTTTTATGCTAAACAAAACCCAACCCACTATCAACAAAGTAAAAATACAATCCACAAAAGAAAATATTTGCAAACGATATATCTGATAAACATCTAATATCCAGAATACATGAAGAACTCCTACCACTCAACAATAAAAAGACAAATCAATTTAAAAATGGGCAAAGGATCTGAGTAGCAGTTTCTCCAAAGAAGATATACAAATGGACAGTAAGTACATGAAAAGATGCTTAGCATCATTAATCATCAGGGAAATGCAAATCAAAACCACAATGAGAAATGACTTCACATTCATTAGACTGGCTATAATACAAAGACAGGTAAAAAAAGTTTTGATGAGTATGTGGAGCAACTGGAACCCTCATCACTGCTGGTGGGAATGTAAGAATTGTGTAGCTGCTTTGGAAAATAATCTGATAGTTCCCCCCAAAAGTTAAACATATAGATATAATAAGACCTACTCCTAGATATACACAAGAATTTAAAACATTTTTTCCCACAAAAACCTGTACACAAATGTATAATTACATTTGTATATATTTATTTGTATACTAGAGGCCTGGTGCA